AACATGGTGTGAAAAGCTTTATACTTTTTTTGATATCATCAGTTGCTCGTGCGATTTAAATTGCAAAAAGAAAACCCACTTAAGTTTTTACAGAACACGTAAACTACTGATATAAACCACGGAGAAACAGTGCAATATACAATACAGGATATTAACGCAAGCAGAGAGGAATTACTCACCTCTACATTACATCCTTTAGTGACTCCGGTATAATCTGAGCTGCTGAGGAGATTATAAGGAGTTCTGGAGACTTCAATCTCCCGGAGACAGCCTGCGTAACGCTTCAGAGTGATCTCGGACCTATACAGAGGTTCAAACGATTTTAGTATTGAGCGTTTTTGATACTGGGAAAAGTCCGCGGACTTTCTTGTCTCTTATTGCCAAAGCTGAGCGGCATCATTTAAAAATATTGAATTACAGCAGCAGTGAAGCTATTGCATCATGTATCCAGAAGCAGAGTGAATGCTACAACAGGAATAATCTGAATATAGTGTTTGTCCATATTGTCCAAATCAATACATTTTGACTTGTTATAAGAATCAACTTTGAATTAAAATGATCTTGATGTAATGTTGATGTCAGGCTTTGTTCAGGCAGAATCCCACTGAACAAGATTTCAGCCCTGGATTGTGAATCAGAGCCACGTTTTTTGTAGCATAGCAAAACTGTAGTGCTACAAAAACTCAACACTTACATCCACACCTAAAACACAATTTAAGTAGGATTATGGCAATAACGCCTGTAAAGCAGAGTCATAACTGTGAGAAACTGCCTCTTAATGTTTCTGGGTAGGAAAATGTCAAATTCAGATTAATAACAGCAAAGAGAAAGAGCTTTCCAGCCGCCGTGTGGAGGAGCAGGAGGCTTCAGGGGCCACGACACAAACACACACATTCACTCTGGGCTACACAGCAGCATCATCAGCACAGGTAGGCCTCATGCAGAGGGTAATGATCACTGTGTGTCTATGAGATTTATTTATTCATTTATTTACCTGGCTGTCATGCTGTCGAGACAAAACAAGATATTAAAGCGTTAACACACTTTGCAAAACTGCTGCTCTGCTTTAATGACATAATTACCAGAGGTTCAGGCTCCTTGGTCATGAAAAAAGTCTCAGTAGCTTGATTTTATAGGAATTAAATATTTTAAGTATCTTCAAAAACTAAAGATTCTGCAAACAATCGAATGCAAAACAATGAATTCACTTACAGAACATATTACGACCTTCTTTAGGATGGGTCCTTCTGCATGAAAGTGACCACGTGGTGAGAATGAATTACATCAGTGCATATGTGTGTGTACCTGTAGTTTCCAATCGTCGGCAGACCTCCAAAATAAATTTTCTGATGTTCCTTTAAGTTCAAACCAGTAGCTGAACCCGGAGATGTGGCCACTATCTTCTCCTCAGCGCTGCTGTTGATGTCCACCACAGTCACCGTGGCTGTGTAAAACAGTCAAAGACACAGAATCAGGAACACAACGATCAGATGCATGTTTCGTCTCCTCCTCCTCTAACATCACGGCTTCAGTATCTGATCGTTCATTTGCTGTTTGCAGCGACGTCCGCACCTTGTTTCTTGTTCCTGGACATGGTGAGGGATTTCCAGCTTCCGTCATTGTGGCGGCTGGCTGATACGGCACTGCCGACCCCTGAGCCCAGGTCAAAGTTCACCTTCACTTTGCCCTCTGAGAGCTCCAGGGACATGAAGTCCTTCTGTACAGAGACAGAGAAAATGGGCTGTGAGGCACCGACTTTGTAAAGACAAGAAAAACATGAAACATAAAACCTGCAAATTCCTGCAAAGTACAACAATAATGTAATAAAAAGGTTTTTATCTTTTCTTCCTGACTTTGTAAGGTTTTCAGTTGATGGATTAATGATTTAATACAAAGAAAGGTGACCTCGGCACGGCAAAGTCTTCACTTGTTATCGGTTCATTTTCTTCTTGGGGTTTTAATCCTGACTAACCTTTGAGTTTCACAACCTTTCTCTTAGTTTCTTACGTACCATATCTTCCGTAGCCAGATACATGAGCAGAGCTTCAGAGGAGAAAGTGCGAAACTTGAAGGTGACGGAGGAAACGTTGGGGTTCCACCTGGTGGGTCGTCCCACCGCGGCGTAGCCCTCACCATCCAGCTGCACTATACCCTCCCCATCAGAGCGCTGGGGGCTGTTGAAACAAAGACACATTTCAAACGTCACAAAAAAATGTAAAGAAGCAAAGGTGACGACGATGATGATGAAGCCTCTTGAGCATTGACAGAAAAGACTGATGGAATAATTATTTAGTTACAACACAATGTAAGGTAGAATTAAACAAAATATTAGCATATTACAATATATGAAAAATAATAAAACTATGTGAATAATAATACCTGACAGCACATCCTTTACAGTCTCCCTGTCTGTCTCTGTAGTTCCACAGTCCGATGGGTTTACCATCCAGGAAGGTCTCCCCCATGCAGCCTGTGAATGTTGACGTTCTCACTGCATCTGCTCTCTGGGAAAAAAAATAATAATGAGAAAAACAGACAGACGGGTTCATGATGTACACAAACACAGAGACGGACGGATACCTTGACGGTGCCGAGTATTCCTCCCACAAACAGGTAGGCGTTCTGGTCCACGTCCAAGATGGTGTAGGCTGTAGGCGAGTTGGCACTTGCCGGCGTGGGCATCATACCAGCCATGGAGCCTTCCAGAGGGAACACTGATATGGTACCATTCAAGCCATTACTGGAGATGAGGAGGAAGAGAGAGTGGGTTTGATGTTATTTTGTTTACGATTCTGCATTTCCTGGAAGAAATTCACACCGACCCAAGAAGTTAGAGGCACTTGGAATCAGTTTTAATGAACTCTCTGCGATGATGAATGATAGAAACACAACATGGAACCATTTTGTAGAGGGGGAACCTCTGAGCTGTGCAACGAGATTAATCTCCCACCTAGGAGTTTGTTTTCAAAGCAAAGCAAGGAACCGCATTTCTGTTCCGTTTCTGCAGGGGAACATTTTTAAGACTGATAGCCTGTGTGATCCCAACGGAAAACACCACTGGGAAATCTCTGGGATGGAAATGCATGCTGCAGGTGGGGTGTCTGCTCGGTGTGAATGGGTCTTGTGTTGGATGGTCTATAAAGCTCCATGTCAGCTTTCAGGGAGAAAACGTGGAAGTGTTGGATCACACTGTATCTATGTAATGATGTGCCACGGGCTGACAAGGCTGCAAACTCTTGATTTCCCATGTGAAGCGACGTTTTTCCTTCTGCAATATGGATGGAATGGATATGAATGATGTCCTGTGGTTTGTGGGTTTGTTTACTTTTGCTGGTACAATTGGCTGTTGTTGATTTCATTAGGGTCGAAGTGAGAGTGAGAAAAACAAAAGATATCAGTCTGTGATATATTTGATATCCGTCTGTCAGTGATTAAAGCCGCTCCCTGACCTCAACGACACAAAACGTTGATTTTGTTATTTAAATACAGATCAAATGTCTTAGACCTCGTTCCCTTTCTGACACTGCTGTATTTAAACTCTTATGGGTTAAAGGTTCAATCATTTGAATTTCATCACATCAAAATACAAAAATAATGAAAATGTAAAACGCTGCTCAAAAGCTCAGACACACACACGAAAAAATCTACACATTCAGTACAGCCGTGTGCTTTGTGAGTACTGAATGTGTATATTTTATACTGTACATCTACAGTAATAGACCCTAGAATGGAGCCAGTAGATAAGTGCTATATATTTGCATGTACCTGTTTGTGTATTTCTGAATATATGTGCATCATCACACTATGTACAAGCCACAAAGAAGCATGTGCACGTTCTACATATGTATGAGTGTGCACGCTTCTTACCGAGACGCCTCTATTCTGTGCCAGTTCCCATCATGGATGGTGTGATGGGGATATTCAACCCTCCCCACACCTGAACCCACGTCCCAAAGGAAATTCACCTTCCCCTTACGCATCTCCAAGGCCAAGAAATCAACCTGCAACACACAGAGAAGAAATACAGAGTAAAAACTGTTTCTTTAAAATGTGAAATCCTGCTCTATATTTTCTGGTCATCAGTAAACAAGCTGAATCCAACAGGAGAGGCGGAGAGACAGAGACGCAGGGGGAGAGCCGGTGTGTAAATATTATTTAAATTCAGATTCTCTGTGTCCAGAAGGCAGATTATTTCTACTTAGATATGTAAGTAAGGCAATGGATTTTCCTCACAGGGCCACATGGCAGCAGCGTAACCGTTTTCTAAAAAACAGGATTCTGCTTAAAAAAAATACTGTGTCCACAGAATTCAAACTACCTTTTGCAGAAAATAAGGTTTTTTAATATATTTATTGACCCTTTTTTCCATAATATGGCACAAAAACACGCCAAAGGACAAAAACACAAACAAGTAGAAGGGCACTTTCTAATTTGGCTGTTTGGTCACTTTAAAATCATATATATTTGTTGCTGCTGTTTTTCGTGAGGAAACAAATCCTGAATCGGCCCCTGATCTGAATCTGCACCTGCATAGAATAATAGTAGATATTTCGTAATGCTGCCAACTCATGAAAACACAACCTCGTAAACGTTCCTTTAATTAAACGTTACAAGGCTTTACACAGAATAACTTTCTGTCGGTAAAGAGTAAACCCACTTAAATGAGTTTTGCAACAACCTTGAAGTGATTACTAAGTGTTCTCCATTTACTGCTCACCACAGATAACCTTATCGAGTACGTGTAATGGTGGGAGTAGTGAACAGTGGAGCGATTTCACACCCAGCTCTGATCTATTCTGAGGGTACAAAGGCGGAAGTTTTCTCCATCTGTCTCTGAAAGTGGATTTTCACAGAATCTTGCTGTATTTTGATTAATGATCTTATTATTTATGTATGAGCCAAAAAGAAATTAATAAGAGAATTTTGAGCATATGCTCTAATCTCGCTGCCGTCTCTGAAGAACGCACTCGGGCAGCATTATTATTATTCATATAGCATTATGCACAATTAGAGATTATTAGGGAGTCACATTTGAAGACGCAAATGACACACACATACACAAACAGGTATACACACTTATCTCTGCGCTCTCTCCAGGGTGATGGTGATTATTCATGAGCACAGATCACAGGGCAGCATCATCCAACTAGCATTACACACTGTTAATGACATGTTAGATGTGCACACACACACACACGCACGCACATATAGTAAACATGCAGAAGGACACACACACAGACACACACCTGCTCCCAGAGTGATTTGTCTAATATGACAGTAATTAATATTTCTTGACGCAGACTCGCGAACTCCCCTAAAAGCTCTGTACACTGCTGGTTACAGGTACCACTGATAATCCCAGAGCGTGTATATGTGATATGATGTGTGTGTGTGTGTGTGTGTGTGTGTGTGTGTCCTAAAGAGCAGCAGCAATTAACAACAAGTTTATGTTGCTATCTGCTTTAGCCTGATTTCCCCTGAGAAATCACTGCTCTGCTTCGTCTGACTGGGAAGTCTTGAACATGGAGGTGTGTGTGTGTGTGTGTGTGTGTGTGTGTGTGTGTGTGTGTGTGTTTTGGTGTGTCTCTCACTAATTCTCTCTGTGAAGGATTTGATATGAATAATAAAGCCATGTGTCTGTGTGTTACTGTGTTCATGGTGTGAAGCTCACTTTACTATGATGGTTAGGTTAAAGGTTTAGAGGAAGTATGAGGAGTCCCCACACAAACAGTTTAACAAGGCTTTGTGTGTGTGTGTGTGTGTGTGTGTGTGTGTGAGTGTGTGTACATTGGCACATCCAAGTGTGATAAATGCTCCACAGTAAACAGCAGCTCGACATTATATTAAATATGATTAATGTTTTAATATGGAACATTTAACAAATCGAAAAACTGTCACCTGGATTTTTCATCAATAATACAAGAGCCATATAAACTGCGAATATAGTTTATATCCAAAAACAGCTAATGAGTGTTAATACACAGCCGTGCATTATTATGATGAAAGGCATGTAGCTATAGGTGTTTACACGATAATGAACAAGTAAGTTAAGGGTTTTGTTTCCGTAATTCACGGAAGGCAGCTACCTGCTGTGTTTTGATTAATTAGATTTGAGTTTTTAATGAATCCTGAGCCAGTATGTGTCCATGTGAAAGAACAAACATAGATGCAGAGTAACAATCTAGCCGAGACCATGCCTGTGCATCCTTGCTTGTTGTGCTGTAGCCTAAACCCCTGAAGTATTATACTTACATATTTGGCTGATCCCAGGTAGAAGAGCAGGTTGTCAGGAGTGGTGGTTTTAACGTGAAGGATGATGGTGTTGTACCTCCCTTTCCTGATTTCAGGACGGTAACTACGGAGACAGTCGCCGCCTGACGACACCGACACTTTGATCTGGAGAAAGAGAGAATGAAAGTTTCCACGCAAAGACGTAGATTTACGATTGAATTATTTTAGGACGACACCGAAATAAAATAAAACAAAAGTCACAAGTCAACAAAAGACATATTTATAAACTTCCCTTAAATGTGCTCGGATTGTGTGTTGACCACTCACTGAGTTAGCCTGCTTCCTGGCCTGGTTGATCAGCTCCTTGATTTGTGAGATGTTTCGCTTCAAGTTGTCCTGCAGCTGTTTGATTGGCTGCAGCTTCTCCAACAGCCTATCAGCCTCGTCCTCCAGATCCTTCACTTTAGCTCCTGCAGCATGGACTGAGAGTGCAGAGAGATAAAGTGCAGCAGTGACACGGAGCGGCACAGTGGCGGCTGCCATTACCAGCGTACGGTATATTACAGCTGAGAGAGCGAGCGTGTGAAGAGCGTGGAGAGGATGACAAATAACAATGGCAGCTGGAAAGATCGTTGATATTACTCAGAAGAGGAGAAATATGGTGGAGGAGCAAGAACAATGGAGAAGCCGGAGAGAGATGAACCATTAGTGCAGCTCAGCATTCAAAGAAAACTGCTTCTACACTTTTTTATGATTATATATTGTAAAAGCTTGAAACTGAAAAAAGAAAGGAATAATAAAGACAGAAAGAAAGAGAAAGAAGCTCCATGCTTTGCAGGTTGCAGAGCTCTCATGCTCTAGCAGGGCAGAGCCGACGGATTATTAGAAGAAATTACTAGATAGATATCAGAGATGGCCATCAAATGAATGGGTGGTGCTCCAATACTGTTGTTGAACTCAGATCATGTTGACTCAACTGAAAAACAAACTTAAATTGTGTCTGAATGAGGATTTTCAGTCTCAGCTAAGTTAAGCCTGAACGTGAAGAAACATGGGAGTTAACATTAACTACTTGTAATCACAACATTTTATTGGTTCACCACCTCTGATAAATAATTTATATAGAGATAAGTGAAGTATACATACTGATGGCTGTGGGGATTGAAAAAAAGAGAGACAGAGGGAAAAAAATTATCAGATTTGTAAGTAATCATGAATAATGAATTTATGTTGCTGAGAGAAAATTAATATAAAGCAGGATTATCTTTAGATTGAGGATTCGATTATTGACAGACTGCTACTGAAAATACTTAATTAACTTCCATCTCTTGTTTTCATTTTCATCTGTATTCAAACCGTAGGTTGCGGTTCCTTTTTTCCCCCAAACACGAGGCAGAATTTATTAATAATAAACTAGATAAACTCTATTATCGTCCTGTGGTTGTATGCCTCCGCCAACCAGCGCAGATTCAGTCTACATTCATTTACTTCCATGGTGACCTTTGACCTCTGGCCACTCATCAGTTCTTGTTTGAGTGACAACAGGTCAGGATTTGGAGAGATTCCCTGAAGGCAGATTCACTGACAGGCCACAGTGAGTTTGCTCTTTGACCACAATCGAAGAAATTCCCTCAAATAGTTTTCGACATATCGTTGGTCGGAGGGACAACCTGGAGACATAACATAACTGGCTACTGGTTGTCTCCAGCGCGAAGGCATAACAAGCATCAAGCATTTCTCATTCTTACAGACAGAAATCGTCACTAGCTTTTATTAATATTCGTATTTATTTCATCGTCATGTTGCTACGAAATAAAAAGCACTTTACTGTTTTTCTCGGGGTCCTGGATCATCTGATTGGCTGCATTCACAGTGTCCTCCAGCTCGCTGTAGTTCCCCTGCAGGCCATGGATCCGCAGGTTCAAATCCCCGAGGCGCTCAAGGACATCTATGGCTGTGGCATTAGCATCAGCTGCTACAGCCTTTGTGGCCGCTAGCTTAGCTGCTGTGTCTGTTAAGGAAAATAATAACACTAATATAGAAAACCAAGCATTCCAAACTACACACATTAATCAGTGACATGGTATTATTAAGCCTGGATAGTGCCACTAATGATATGCTATTAAAAAACGAGTAGTGTTCAGTCAACATGATGGACGTGGTGTTTTAATAAGTGGAGTTTATCCATGTGACACCACTTATTTGTTGCTTCTGCTTTGTTTGGCAGTTTGGTTTCAAGCTGATAAACAGATTCCAGACCAGATTTAGATGCACTGACTATATGAGCTTTATTTAAAGTTATTTTTTAACTGACACAACATCGAGACACAAAGCTGCTACTCACCGAACATTGTAAAATAAATACATTTTGCTTTTCAGGCCCTGAATTTTAAAGTACAATTTTTTATCAATCATTTAACTGCAAAAAGATGAACCGCATTATTTTTCTGTGTAACAACAACCGAATGCAGATTAGCACCAAATCATCACTTGAAATATTAATATGAAGTGTGGGCAATTTTCCATTTTGTCTGACGTGTCGTCGAGCTGTTGTATAAACAGGATTATCCTGCTGACTCTTTGTATTATAGGTAGTGCAGGTCGGTTTCTTCTTTCCACTGAAACCTCAGCAACCTCTGGGTTTTGATCCACAGGATTTGTCCTGCAGATCGATGTACGGCCATAAATACCAAACATGTTGTGATGTAATGGGTAACTAATATTTCAGGGGCAGAACTGCAGCTGTAAACCCTCACACTGGTGGATAATCGCTGCTGAACATCACCTCTGATTGTGTTATCAGGTTTGGTAAATCCTGTGAAATCCTCGCTGATGATCTTGTGCGGTCTGTGGTAATCCGACCCACCGCATCATGTTCTTATTATTGTGTTAGTATGAGCTCACACACACGGATCGGAACTCACACTGCTCACGTGGTGTGTTTAACCTCTGGCTCTCCTACATTTACAATTGGCAGTAACTAAATTTTACTTTTATATCTGTATGTTGATCCAAATGCAGCTGAGTGTATTTCTGTGCGTCTGTGTGTGTATCACAGTGCTGGCGTGTCAAGTTGAGTTTCCCAGAGAACTGACCTCTATCTGCCCACTATTGATCCACTCTCTGTTTATATCCTTCCCATGAACACACAACACACTCACTCACTCACACACACACTGTGTATTCGTGGATGCAGTCGTACCGTTTGGTATAGCGTTGAGCGTTTCCATGGTTCCATTGACAGCTCTGAGCAGGTCTTTTGTTTTGTCTCTTGCTGCTTTGACTCTGTCCTTCAGCCCGGAGACACTATCTGCATTCTCTGCACAAGCACACGCACACATGCACAGACACACACGGTAAATGATGGTGATGGTTTGATTTGAAGCTGCTTGCTAATCACTTCCCTCACCTCCCTGAAGAGGAGCAGTGACAGACAGTAATTGGTGCAGAAGAAAAGTGAAACTGACGACTGATAAACTCGTTCAAATAAATTAATCGAGACTTACTCGAGCCTGATTAATATGGATGTTTGGGGGCAGACGCTAATACCGACACATTAGGGGGTAAAACATTTCCAATACAGATATAACGGCTGATATAAATTAAAAAAGGAAAAATGGCACTAATCAAACCCTTATGACAAAGAAATGGAATTGAGATTTGATATTTTACAGTTTACCCTTAAAACCTCATCACAAATAATCCAAATACCATCGAGTATATAGAACTTGAAAGAAGAAAATAAAGTGTGAAATATTCTGTAAGATAACATTTATAAATGCTGATACCAATATGTCTGTAAAAGGTGAACATCAGTCCATAATATTTAACAAACCAATGAATCGGCTGTAGAATGTAAATGATCATTTGAATAATATTACTGCAGGACTGAAGCTCTTTGAACAACAATCAGCAGCTGAACTGTGTCCTCATATTTACAATACACACGTTTGTATGAAACATATATTACACTTGTACTTGTGGTTACCTGTGACATCATTCTGCAGTTGTTTAGCTTGGTTTAACAGTCTCTCACTCTTCTGAAGGGCTCCTTGAGCTGCTTCCTTCATTGGGACCTCTGGACCTAAAGCCTGAATACACACACACACACACACACACACACACACACACACACACACACACACACACACGCACCAAACACCACGTGGGTGGTACCAGTCGATCAGGGATACATGAATTAGTACAGACGGAGCCCACCTTCAGTACTAAGTACTTCAGTACTTTTCTGTACTAAACCTCGGACTCAGACAGAAAAAACTTAAAATATTGGCGGAAAAATCACAAATGAAGGAAACTGAACACAGAAAATAAGTTTAAAAAAAGAGAAGAGGGGAAAATGAAACATTACAGTTTAGAGGGGAAATTAAAATAAGGGATGTGATGAAGAAAAAAGCAAAGAAATTGAGAATGAACAAAAAAGAAAAGGGATGTGAACACAGAAGAGAACAGAAGGAAAGAAAGAGTGGGGGAACGGGAGATTTCAGGTGTGTGTGTGTGTGTGTGTGTGTGTGTGTGTGTGGTAATGAAAGGTGGAAAATGAAGGAAAAGAGACGGACAGAGAAGAGCTTTGATCTCTCAGCCGTGACTAATGGAGAGCACAAGCTTACATTACTGTTACTGCAAGCAACACACACACACTCACACACATACACCACTTCCTGTATTGGGGGGTGTATTACATGCAGTATAAAGGTACCCAGAGTAATGTAGAGGAACATATGAACAAAAGATGACAGGATGTTTTTATCCTATCACATCATAGACTGGAAATAAAGACATTTCAAAATAAATCAATGTGATAACAACCAAAATAACAGAGAGGAGATTTGGGAAAAATTAATTTTTTAAACTTTTTAGTTTGGTCCATGTCTCCATCCACTTACACGGAGGAGGCAAGGTTTATGACCTATACTGCAGCCAACCACCAGGAGGCAATCCTGAAGATTTGGCTTCACTGTAGAGACTCACGTTGTCCATCTTTATATTCTGTCTATGTAATTACCTGCAGGACATTTTGTTAATCCCTGAAGGAAGCAGCTTTTTAGACTCAATAGAAGAAACAATAACTGTATTTCTGTGAGTGCAGATCTTCTCACCAGTGCCAGAGCCTCACTCGCCCTCTGTCTGGCCGCCTTCGCCTCTTTCTCTGCTGCATCCACATTTGCTTTTATGTTGCTGTAGGCCTTGAAGGCAGCTGTCGCGTTGAAAGAGAGATTTTTGGCGTCGGCCAAAATACTGTGAACGATGGAGAGAGAGGACGAGAGAGAGGGGACAGGATGTTAACGTGTGGTTGATGAGTTATACACAAGTTTATTTTTATGGTTTAAAAAATGCAAAAATGGGTCCAATCAAATTAGTGAACTGAAATCAAAGAGAAAACATCATATATCATGTAAATGTATGTACACAGACTTGATTTATACACTAGTTTTGGTCTTATTCAGACTCTATATACTTTATCTTTGTGTAAACGTACTCTGTGTTTATATCTACCTGTCCAAAATGGCAGCAGATTCATTCAGCTGCTTGGCGTGTTCCTCTGCCTCGTGCACGTGGTGAGCCAGGCTGTCAGTCAAACCACCGGTGAGACGATCGACTTCATCGCCGAGCCGATTGTGGAGAGGACCCAGGTCTCGCTCCATCTCCTCCAAGTCCTGCAGGGGACAGGGGAAAAAAAAAAAAACAGACACTGATCGGGTGCTGTGGGAAAAAGGGCTAACTCGCAAAAACTACTGTTTGTGTCACTGATGCTAAAAGACACAAAATCCAACAGTAGAGGTTTTATCGAGTTACACTGGTTCTTGAGGATTGTCACTGGTCGTACCTCTATCTCTCTGTTGATGTTGTCAGAAAGCTGGTTCGCTTCATCCAGTAGACGCTCTCCTTGTCCGAGGATCTCCTGCGCCTCCTGTTTCACTGCAGTGACTGCTGAGCGCTTCCTCTGCAACACAAGAGATGAGCAGCCTGAACATTAGGGCCGCAGCTAATGAGTTTTTAACCATCAATTAATATGATGATTATTTATTTTCTATTAATTCATCGTTGATTCATCGAAAATGTCACATGAGAGAGAGACAATTGTCACAACAGAGAGTTTTCCAGTGTTTTTAGTTCAGTGGAGTTGAAATGTAATGATGTGAGTGATTTGACTTCATAATGAGTAAACTTAGTATAAACCCTCTGTGTCGTGTGTGTGTGTGTGTGTGTGTGTGTGTTCCACTTTCTTCTCTGCATAAAGCTTCTGTCTTTAAAGTAAAAGTCTGCAGGGTCAAAGAGAAACAAGGGAAGATATTAGGAGAAATAGAGAGAGTGTACTTTGTGTCTGTGTGCGATCAGAATCCTTCCTCGAGGCCAAGTATAATAATCGTCCTGATAAACGCTTGTTGTTTTGCTCTGTTAGGAATCTGTGCTGCCTCTGAGCTTTTCTCTATGATGAATCATAAACAAAAAAAAAGGCTTAGGAAGAAAATAATAAGTCTTGTCTGGATGAATACATTACTGAGAAGTTTCAGGACTTTTCGATTTTAAGAAATCTAAATAAAAACTAATATTAATAACAGTGTTTGCTCAAACTATTGTAAAGTGATTATTTTCATGTACAGATTTTTGGCTCTACAGTTCTGTGGTCCTGTTTTTAAAGTGTTTGTAACTTTTTATTTATATAGAGGCCTTTATTTCCATTTCAAGTTTTTGTTTAATTGTAAATCGCCTCCCGTTTATATGACACAGCACTTACGTCATCTCAGGTTGTTTTAAATGCTGTATAGAATGAAAAGAACAAGTTAAAAGAGAGAGAATATGTTTTCCCATATAGATTTAATATTTTTGGGATGTGGGTACATGAGTATTTATATATTTTAGAAATCAAAGTTAATAAAAGAGTAGAATAAAACATAAGAGTCAGAACGTTGCCTCTCACAGTAAAAACCTGATATGATGTCTGTGTATGTAAATAGTAAATCACTTGTTTATTTAATATTTAACAGTGACCCTGAGAATAAAAAGTCAGTGTTCAAGCAAATGAAAGTGAAACTCAAATGGACGTTTTAACTCTGTGGGACCTGATGTGATACCTCGAGTGCTGTGAGGTTAGCTAGGTTCTGTTCAGCCAGAGAGCCGGCCTGTCTCGTCTTCCCCTGGGCGGTGCGGAGCAGGTCCTCAGCTTCCTGCAGCTTCCCCTCGTGGTCTGAGAGCTTCGCTTTTATCTGAGGAGGCAGATCAGGGAGCATCGAGGTCACGTCACTCATTCAGGAAACACTGACGACTGAAGAGTCAGGATGAGAAGCTCTGATTACCTCGGCTTTCAGGTCTTCTGTGGCCTGATGGGGGTCGCCAAACATTCTCTTGACTTTCTGATACAACTCCTCTGCAAGGCTGGAAGGACAAGAGGAAATATTTATATTATTTTGGTGAAGTAAGTCAGTTTAAGTCAATGCAACATTTCACAGAGGAGAGAAGAGCAGAGTGATTGTGATGCGTGACAGAGCCTCTGAGAGTGCAAAGACAATAATCGCTCTATATGACTGAACGTTGAAATGCAGGAATGAAATTGCCGATTTTCCTCTATTGACCCCTCAGGCTGAGTTAGATTAAATTGTGGCAGTAGAAAAACATTTCAAATAGCACCCGAGCTAATGCGTGCGTGTTTGCATGTGATTGGATGGAAGGGCGAAGCAATATGTGCTAATGTACACGGCGGTAACACGCTGTGTTCGAAAAACAGCGACGGAGAGAAGTGGCAGAGAACGAGTCACTGAAGGACAATTAAAACCCAACCACTGCAGACATGAGCACCCTCTGTGTGTGTGTGTGTGTGTGTGTGTGTCTGGAACTGTGCAGCAAAAGGTTAAATTAACAAATCAATAACAAATAAATGTTAATGTTCTTTCATTTTCTCGAGTGATAAATCAATCAAACTCATTTTACACGTGAAGCCGATATTCAGGAATCACAATTTGCCTCTTGGGGCTGAACAAGGTGCGACGTCCTCTGTCCTCAGAAAGAGTGACAAAAAAACTAAACTACAATACTTGGCACATAAATGGAAACATTTATAAATGTGTGGATAAATGTTTCACCGTTCAGAGTGTTGGTGTGTTTTCTGTGAAGCCTGATAAAGTGTAGAAATGTGACTGTAGATAACGTTAGGCACGAACTTCAAACTGCTTCAAAAGCAACTTCTGAATACTTGTACCTTCTGACGTGCCTGGATGAAACAGACCTGTGCTAATATAAACTAGTTTTTAAGTACTGTATATGCTGCGGTTCTGGAAATGATTCTGGATTCAAATCATCTGCCTTCACGAGCTTTCCTTTATTTGAGCCGCCCCATTAAAGGTTTGCAAAGCAGCCGTTTAGTCGACAGTGTTCTCATTACACTGCGCTTTGACATCTTTTTTTCACAAAGCCTTCTCACTTTGGAAATATTTTAAACAGTTTAATAATCATATGCTTAATGAGACTCGGTTTTTTTTTTTCACCTTCAGCATTAATTAAAACAACAAATACCCAGTGTCCTTCAGTTGACATCACTCAGAGGACAGTTTCACACAGTTGTGCGAGGTAATGATCAGATTTGATGAAAATTTAATGAACCCTGTGGGGGGAAAATGAAGAAAGCAGGAAAAAGAATATAATCAAGCATAAAACTTAAATAGAAACTCTGTCTAAACATTACTCAGCTGATTATTACAACGTTACAGGACATAGCAAAACACTCTGTGAATGACAATGCACATTTGCAGCATGTGTGCTGAGTTTTCCAACCAACTACTGAAACTACTTTAAATCTTTGTGCCAGATTTGTCAGTTTTGCCGAAGCATCACTTTTGTTGATTCTTGTTTTTTTCCCACAGCTCAAATAATCAAGCGCAGACAAGTGACAATGTCTCTTTCTCTTCCTCTTGTTCTCTCCCACTGCGACTCTCTGTCGGCTTTTCTCCTCCTTTACCTCCGTGACTTTCCTTCCCCCGCACGTTCTCTGTATCTTTATGTTTTCTGCCCCGACGGCAAAACTTTTAATCAACTCATCGACCTCGTCAATATTTACTGCTGAGAGAGACAGACAGACAGAGACAGAGGAGGACAGAGACGGCACGCAGAGGGCGGATTACTAATTTCCTCAAAATGCCTTGAGAGAGAGAGAGACGAAGTGAGAAACTTTGTTAAAGCATCGGCAGAGAGAATCGTGGCTGCAGGACATGAAGCAATAAGATATTGTGAGACAGAGAGAGTGTTTACTCCTGATGTCTGCTGTGCCAATAAGGAGAAAGAATTCATTCAGAAATCATCGAGGATTCAAGAAATTAAATTAGCTTATATGATCTATCCCTCTTTCAAACAGCAGACATCACATCTTAGCATTTTGCAAACAGTGTTGTGTGTTGTGCTGTTTTAAAGGTTTTTCATGGAGTTAGTTTTTAGTCCTGAATGACGTGAAATTAGTTTTTTAACCCAACTAGAATCAGGTTTCACAGACGACAGTGTATCGATCCATTCACACATGGGCAGCACCTTTCCATCAGGGGCAATTCAGGGGTCAGCATCTTGTCCAAGGACACTTTGGCATAGATGGGGGAGATTGGGATTGAATTGCCGACCTAGATGACAACCGCTCTACCCCCTGAGCCAAAGCCGCCCCTGTGACTTTGACAATGTGACTTTGACTTTGACGTATTCAAAACTGTTGTGGAACAAACACAAACAACTACATTTAAGTAAGTTGCTAAAGCCAGTTATAAAAAAGTCAACACAACAATTTAAAAAAATGTAGGATATGCGTTTAAAATGTGAAATAAATGAGATTTAAGAAACAATGAACATCAGTGGAAGCTGGAGAGAAAAACATTGCAAACATATCGGTGCAGTGGCATTTTGAGGTTTTAGCTCGTCGGTACTGTTTGTTCCAGAACATGCAGTTGAAACTTCCTGCAGTGTTATTTACACTTAGATTTATTGAGATGAATTATATGCATATTCCTCCTGTCTGCTCTTGTTTCGTTCTCTCATTGTGAGAATTCATGGAAAGGAAAAGTCTCGAGGGGAAACGCCCTGCAGAACAACTGGTAAGAACACGGAGGAGTGGGAGTAAATCCCTTCAGGGACGAAGGCACAAAGTGAAAGCATCAGCATGCAGGTATGAGCGAAAAACAATTTTACATTCAAAAGAACAAAACAATACAACAGAACAGAGTTTTAAAAAGTGTGGTTCCACGCAAAGAGATGGTCAACAAGACGGAAACAACCTTCAAGACAAAAAGCTCCAAACTCAACAGGAAACCCCAGAAAGTGAACAATAACAACGATGCCTTGCTCCTCTTTTCTGTCCAAACACTTTTTGACCTCGGCAGATTTTCACTCTCTCTATCAAGAGATTTAAATATTCTACTCTCCTCATTGCCTCTGGTTTGCTAAACATGCTCAGAGGTGTGTGTTTGCAAGTGAGTGTTTGTGTGTGAGCCTGAAACAAAGGCTGGTCTGTTCGCTAAGTTTACTCAAAGTCTGTTTCTGTAGCGAGTGGGCGGGTGAGGCATGACCCGTGTGTGTGTGTGTGTGTGTGTGTGTGTGTGTGTGTGTGTGTGTACATACTCCATCTCCTCCTCTGCGATGGTCTTTTTCCCTCCCAGCTGTCGTTTTCTCATCTCGGCTAACATGGCCTGGATCTCCTCCTTCATCTCCTTCAGGCTTTTGTCAGGAGTTCCATCTCTGCGTGAGAGAGTCTGGTTCAGCTCGGCGGCCTTCAACTGCAGGTCTGGACACACAGACGCACAAAGAGACTGTGGTGAGCACACTGCAGGTGGACGGACTCACTTCAAGTTGATGCAATCGCACAAGCTCTGACAGAAAATCTCTATTCCAGCTTCACGGATATTTTTCCACCAAAAATGTTCATGATCATAAATGATGAAAACTGTGGAGCAGCGTAGGTGTGAACACAGGCGTCGACTGCTGTGTACATTATTTATCTTGAAATCATGACAACTCCAGATCATGTGGATTCTATTTAATTGAACAATGTGTGTGAGAATGTGTTGTTTTTATTCTTGCTGCCTGTCTCACTAACTAAGATTCTTGGTTATGACAAATGAAGCTTTTTGATCTGGAATAAGTTTCTCTGGGCCAAGGTCAATATAGTTCAAAAAAGGAGAAAACAATATGAATAATTATCGAAATATAGTTTTCATTAATAGCAAAATAATGAATAAAGTCCAATACATCGAAATAATGCTTATGCATTGCGCAAACACAGCGAGACAACTTGTATCATCTTGTCATATCTTTATCTTTATGTTTATGTTCCCTTGCTGTGATGATTTTATTGTGTGTTCTACCAGTTCCAGTTCTGTGGACGCCCCTGAACTAAACCCCAATAGAAAAAGGTACAAAAATAAGCACATGAATGGAATCAGTCTCTTGTGTGTTCATTTGCTTGCTGGGTTGTCATGTTCTTGTGGATACTGTATAAAATATAACCCTGGTGGCACCGCTGGGTGTAAATGCCTTTAACACTCTGTGTTAGAATTAATTGACTCTTTGGTCAGTTGGGGACTAAGTTGTTTTTATATATTAGCCACAAGTTGTGAAGTCAAATAGTCAATCTGTGCTTCGCTTTAACATTTAAAAATTAACTGTCTGAGAGTAAAGTGAAAAAAGTGACGGGGACTGATACTGTGACGGCACCGTGTGTGTGTGTGTGTGTGTGTGTGTGTGTGTGTGTGTGTGTGTGTCGTCTCTATGGCTCAAAAAGACAGACAAAAATTACACCATTTGATCTTTACTCATTAAAACACAGACACACGCTGCGAGTCGGCCACGCACACAAACACACACACACACACACACACACACACACACACA